TACCCCACTGCATGCTGCAAGTCCTGTTAGTCAGCTCAGCGGTGGATGCTCTTAGAATCTGTAATCTGATGGATCCCACTTTCCAACAAAGGACTGCTGTTTCACAGAGGGTGGAAGACCCGGGATTCTCAGGTCAGAGATGCAGGATTCGTTGCCAATGACACAACAATATAGCTGGAAAGCAGACTAATGGGATGAGTGGTCTTTGTCTTCACGTCTCACATAGATGATGCATATTAGCGTAGGTGACTGATGTGTCCCAGTGGGTCTGTGTCATATCTGAGTCAGGCTGGCTTCAGGGACATCATATGTTATGACAAGAAGTGGCCATGAAGGCCACTTTGTCCTTGAAGGAGACATAACTGTCTGTTTGGAATTGCTTGCCACAAAAAAAAGAAAGAAAGAAAGAAAAACAAAACCTTGAGAAATGATTCAGAGAAATAAGAACAGTTAGCCAGAACTTCATATTCTTAGCGTATTCAGTAAAATGAATAGAGGGTACGAGGCTCCTGGAGCTGGGTCTGACAGAAAGCGAGAATAGTCAGTACAGATAGAGAGAATTACCCTTGAATCTGGGGAGTGGGCAGGGATTTTGCTGCACACTATAAGAACAAAAGAATGCTGAGTCCGAAGAAAAAAATCAGTCTTGCAGGTCAGAGATAAGTAGAGATGGAAAAAAATTAGTGTATTGGGAATCAAGTCACCCTGAGGCCAGATCTTCTCAAGAATGTTTACTGTTGTGAGCTAATTGAGTTTTCAGTCATTAACGACTGGAAGACCTTTGACAGAGCTGGCATTTGACATGCATTGTCTCATCGCAGCAGCCCTACAGAAAATGTCATCATTTTGACCTTATAGATGAGGCTAATAAGCATCATGCAGATTAGCTTGTCTGAATTCTACAAGAAGGCAGAGCCTCCCATGCTGACGGCAAGCTCCCTGCTCTGAGAACCTCAGCTCCTTGTTCTCACACGGCAGTGTGCTTTTAGAAATAACCAGATTCACCCTGACTCTAACGCAGCAGTATTTCTATGATGGAGCATAGAGACTGTCTTTATAAAAATTCTCAAGTGATCTTTATATGTGGGGATTCTGAGTCACTTGTGATGACTTGTATTGGAAGATACAGTGTCAGAGAGGCTGCCGCCTAACATTTTGATAAAATATACTTATCGAAAAGTCTTGCTTCGGACAGACTTACACTTAAACCTTTTCCGTTATGTAAGCAGTGAACCAGGTGACAGGGCTTTCTGAGAAGAGTTTCTTTGGAGGACTGGGGAAGGTGAGGACAGCGTCAAGGGAGAGGACATAGAACTGGAACAACTGTGAGGGAGGAAGGCGGAAGAAGACGCACTTTGAATTACTATTTTACCAATAATTTCTTATGATGTCACTCTTCTAATTAACACTTGTGTGCACGTGCAAGCAGCAGCATGCACACATAATTTAAATTAGATGCCAGGTACAGCAGTTTATATACAACGCAATTTGAGACTCTGTTGAAAAAGACATGCGTGTCTCTGCCTGGTTCGGAAGTAAGAGCGGCTCGTCAGACATAGAGGAAAATGTTTGATTTAATTATTGATATTGAATAGACACATTGTGACTGCTAATAATATTAGCTTGGTAGATTAGTGGATTGTTCAAGGATTATAGAAACACAAAGAACGCAGTACAATCCATCTTTTCCCAGAAAAGCCCCATGAGTCAGGTTAATTTACAAAAGGGTTCTGTTTACCTCTCATGCCCTGGACTGCTTCTCTCTCGATTAAGTGCTTCATAACTTGTCTTTGGGAATACACATACATCATTTTTGCAAAAGTTAGACCAGTGTTTATATATTATCCTGCTGTTTCCTCGCTTGCAAAACCTGTGGTCTCTAAGTGGAATCTAATACATAATCTTTCTTAAATGTCCTAACGTTGGCAGGACCCGAATCTTCCGCACGGATTGTTCCAGCCATGTAATCACAGTTCTAAAGAGGTAATACTCTAGGTGGGTGGTACGTCCACCTTGTCATTTCTTTTCCTTCTGTGTCCACTCACAATTGATTTGGATTGATCTGGGTTAAAGAGATTTATTTTTAAAGTGCTAAGTTTCTCATTTCTCAACCAGAATATGGGGAGCATCCTGAGGTTTCACTCTTGCATGGATATAAAATTTACAGCTTTGGCCTAAGACTGAGTTTTATATATTATTTGACAATCATCCTGTTGATTATCGAAGTGAACATTTTACAGGATTTTGACCTAAAAAATCGTATCTCCTTTTTAGACAATGCTTCCCTCAACCTAGTAGCAGTTTGACAAGCAGGCATTTTTTTTTTCTGTGTTAGTTTGAGCTATCTGCTTCAGTTCACGGGGCTCCTCTGCCTTATCATTATGGTAGAGATATCTTCATTTTTCTTTATTGCTGTAATCAGAAGCCGAAGTATATATGACCACTCATAACCCAGTCCTTTCTCAGGTGCTTGCTACTGGATGCTGTCCCGGGGTAGATCATAAAATAATAAATTATCATCCATTATATCTCTGCACCTGTTTTTCCCTAGGGAAAGCATGTCACAGTGTTGAACCTGTTGACATCATGCTAAAGCCAACAAACTGAAATCTGTTGGATGAGAAGCAATATACCCATCTGTGTAAGTGGTCCAAGTGCACAGTGCTGGAAGGGAACAACACCAACTTAGCAATGCCTTGTGCTTTGAGCACTTACCACTCTATTAGCAGATTCTGACCACCTGTTAATAGCATCATTGGAGTTTCGTCTCTGATGTACCACCATGGAACAAAGAAGGGACTGGGCATAACTCATAAGACATAATATACCACCAAATGAGTTTGTCTTGGAAGATTGCATTAGTATCGTTATTATTTCCGTAATGTTACCAAGTTAGAAATATATTTATAATTCAAAATTATGCATCTCCATGCTAAGAGAACCACTTTTTCAGCATATGCGAACTATATGTTTAACATTGGGTCCAGTGGTTGTGATAAAATGAATTAGACATCAAAGCTTTTTAATATGATCATTTTACATGGTTGATGTGTGAGAAGAAATCCTGAAAAATGCCACTCTGGGGAGTTTAAAGGTCACTTGAAAGTGAGATAATCATTTACAGATATTAAACCAACATGTTTTAACTTCCTCTATAAAGGACCAGTCATTTCAGTGTCTTTCTCTCTGTGTGGGAGTCTCATGACCTGAGAATTTTTCAATATCTCTCCCTGAGTGAGGATCATCAACTGAGGATAGGAGAAGGGTTTGTATTCAGGAAACCAAACATCCTTGGAAATCAGGTGTGTGACTGGGTTAGGAGAGAGAACTGGTTTAAATCTTTCATGCTACATGAGACACAAGGGCTCAACCTCTCTTGTTTTCCTCTACTATAACGCAAATGTAGAGAGTGTGAAATGTTTCACTAAGTGAGGTTGACAAAAGCAAAGATGAATGCAAAATATCTGAGACAGTCATAGGCAGAGGGAGATGAGAACAGACCAAAGGGATCCTTGGGATATGTAGTGCCAGTCCCTGGGTCTCCTCTAGCCACCTACCCAGGGACTGCAATGGCAGAGTGTCAGACTCCAAAGCACATGCTGAGGATGATCAGTGTGCGATCACTGTGTGATCAGTATGAGGACCATGGGAACTCAAGGAGCTGCTGCCCACAGGAGATGCTGCTCCAGAGAAGATGCAGGATCCCAGACTTAGAGCTGCAAATGTTACCTGACTGTAGCCAGGAGGCATCCACAGTAACAGAGCATCCCAGGCAGAAGGTAAAAGGTCTGGAAGGCTACTTTCCAAGGACTCATCCAGTCATATTGCCCACAAGGGTGTAAAATGTCCCTGCATAATTTAGAGTCAATTTACCAATAAGGAGAGAAAGGGGATGCTAGCTGAAATTGTACAAACTTAAAAAAAAAAGATCACAATTAAAAAAACAGCTAATTAAATTATTAGCTCAATTGACTCCTTCCTCTCAGCTAACCAGTTTGAAGGGGTTTGGAGTAATGCTTGCAGTAGTTGTGACCAAAAGTAACAAACTGTGTGTGCTGTAGCTGAGAATCAAGACCCCAGTACTATGAAAAGAATGTTATAAATCTAAGCTGCAAACTTCACATTTGCTACCCTGCTATGATTTTAAAAAATAATCAAAATACGTAAGTACCACTATCCTTAGTCATTTTGTGGTAATGTATGTAACCTCGTGAAGCTGGAGTTACAGGGCATTTGAACCACTATCGTCCTATAATAACTGCTATCAAATGTTTGAGGAATACGATTTTTATTCATTTTGCTGTGAAAATAAAGCTTCTATAGGACGTAGAATCTGTTTCTGTTTTTATTTTTATTTCAAGTCCTCACCAAGCTTGGTTACAGCCTCCAGCAGGGAAATGACCCAAACTGAACAAGATATAAAATGTGTCCTCCTTAAAACCTGATTTTTCTACTTCTTTTTAACACTACCCTTTTAAAACTTTTAAAAGATATGTCTCCCTCCCATTATCATTTCTCTGATGGAAAGCAGCAATTATTTATTTTACAACAAAACCTGAGTTCATGAATGAGGGCAGGCAGTAATTTAATCTGTGAAAACCAGAGGCATTGTCTGGTTAGTGTGGCAAGGGCAGAATGTAACCCAGGCCATTGCTTCCTGGTCACACTCACTCAGAAGCTATTACTGCTTCATTCTTTTGCTCTTCTCCCTCCTCCCCAATCTCCTCATTATACTCCTTCCCTACCTGTCTATACACACACTCACACACACACACACACACACACACACACACACACACACGCTCACTTGGGCATGCACACACACATGCACCAGGACTCCCATTTTAAAGAAAAGAGTTCAAAGGATAGATGCAATTTTGAAAACTTCCAAAGTTAGTCTGAAATTTCCCAAAAGTTAAGTGTGTTAATCAGACCTGAGTGTTCAGACAACCCCTTGAAACAGTAAGATTCAAATGGAAGCCCGACAGCTTGTGACAGCATAATACATGTTTATTCTGTTACTATTACAGCGGCAACAGGTTAGGGGCACTACATTTCTCGTCTGTTGAGATGATAACCATGGAGATTTCAGTTTGTAAAGTTCATTGTTCCTAACGATTAAAAATCGATTTTAACAGAAGGGTTATTATATACATATAACTATTATTAGGAAAAGATCTAAACTTTCTTATGATCCAAAGCATATTTGTTCATTTGTTGAAACAAAACACAAGACAGTTTAACTCTTGGTTACTGCTTTTAGAAAAGCATGGTGTTCTTCTAGGAGCAAATGTGCACAAAACATCTTTTATATTTAGTGCATTCAGTCATTGTATGTCATGTCAGTGGGAATCCAAAAATTCCAGGTTCATTATTCCAGGACCACTGATATACACTGGCTTACTTAAACAACCAACCAAGATATATATCTTGCTTTCTGTGCCTCCAATGAACAAACCAGCACACCAAAGACTACAGGAAACATGAACGAGTGAAATGATCGGTCCTTGCTCTGTTCAGATTTCTAGTAAATTCAGACATAATTATTTCCACTTCCATTCCCCAAAAGAAGTGACTAAGTTAACTGGATGCGTGGACGAATCACCTGTGCTGGTTCCGAGAACAAGGCAGCAATCTCTTCAGTAGGGATTCAAGTCTCTGATTGACATTTCTCAGGTCTAAGTTTGAGAGCTACTTGAACCTGAAACTGAAAACATCCCGGCTGGAGCCACACTTGTCTTCTAATTGCTTCATGGACTTGTGACAGCCAGTCAAGATAAACAAATCTGTCACTCTTGTATATATACATATGATTTGTGCATAGCAGCACATATAGATACACACACACATCACAGACAGTGTAGTTTCCCCTCATGTTTTCTGGGACACCAGGAATTCAGGTCTTTCACTTTGCACTGACAGAAGTTAACCCAAATTACCATTTATTTATTTTAATAAGACAAAAGCTACAATAAAAAAGCATTAAAAATCTCCAAACTTCACTGGGTACAAGCAAAAATAGGAAGGATTGAGAAAAGCCTAAGATTATCCAAGAGAGCAGAACTTGAGAGGGCTTTAGGCTGAGCTTTTCTCCTCTCCTGCTCTAGCCCACACCCTGAAGCTCCCAGAACTCCCAAGGACAGCCCTGTTAGGCAAGTAGAGAAAAGCAGAAACACAGGACTTCCAACACCACAAATAAATAAATAAATAAATTTGTTAAACAAGAAATAACTTATTAGGCACCGCTTGAAAGGCCGGAACCCTCCAGGACCACACAAGTTACAGCTACAGAACCAGCTTTGGCAAAGGCCCTGTAGTCATCACAGGAGGAGCCTGAGCTGGACCTGAAACTTACACTAGAGCAGGAAAACGAATCTTTTGTTATTCTAAGGAGGGAACCCAGAGGGTCTGCCCTGCAATTCAGGTGCACCCTCTAGCGTGCCTAAGTCATTCCCCAGTTGGGAATGCCCCTCGCTGGAATTTAGGAACCTAGTGCTCAAGTTCTGAGCTCTAAGGGTAGAGTGACTTCTATGGTACCCATATCCACAAACCAGGGATCTTACAAACTTGTCCTTCTGTTTACTCCTTTTTTTTTTCCTCCGAAAGAGGACGTGGGTGGAGCTATAGGACGTCTGGTGTTCTGGGTGCAAGACCTTTTCTTAAGCACCTAGCTCTGCTCTGGGTGCGGGTGGAGTGGAGGGAGGAAGCGCCCAGGGAAAGATGCCTTCCTTGTGAAGTTGCCTGGTCATTCTCAAGCCGGGCTTCCTTAAAAGTAAGGTTGTGCAAAAGGAGAGCGGCTGTTTGGGACAATCTGATAACCGCTTTGAGCAGAGTCTGGCCGGCTGACCTGCGCAGTGACCAGGATGAGCACAGGCTGGGGACTCAGCCCAAAGGAAACACATAGCGGTAATGCTGGCTCAGTTTAAAGAAACAGAAATATCTACTTGAGGGGACAAATGTCAAACTGCGTTAACGACGTTAAGTTTGTGGTTTGTACTAGCAGAACTGGGAGCATCAAAGTTACCGGGTTTGAAGAAGAGTTGTTCAAAGTAGCAAGCGCTGTGTAGGGAGGAGGAAGGGCTGAGAAGATGTCCCGAAAGCCTTCCCAGGTAACCCACAAAACTCTCCATTTTACCTTGGTCACATGGCTTTCCTAGGTCCAGCTAACTAAGCGGTTATCACTGGCCCACGCCTGCTCCTCACTCCCCATTTTTGGCCTCTCTCCCCCTCCAGGCAGTGCCTAGCTTTAAAGCGTGCTGATCCTGGAAGCACAGGTGCCATTACGAAAAACGCCTCCAGATTCCAGGTTTTCGGGCTGGAAGTCCTCCACACTGTAGGCACGACTCTTCAGGGCGGTGGCGTAGTAGTCGACAGGCTCCTCCGCTGCGTTGTCCATCCAGCTGAGGCACAAGATGCGCTGGAAAGAGCGCTTGAAGTTGTCCGACAGGAAGCCATAGAGGATGGGGTTGGCGCAGCTGTTGGCATAGCCGAGGATGACAGACAACTGGCTCACGGTGGCGTCGTCTTGCTCAGCGAAAACATTGACCAGCTGTACCACGTAGAAAGGCATCCAGCAGATGACAAACACCATCACCACCATCATCACCATTAAAGTGATCTTGCGCTCTGAGCGCTTGCGCTGCTGCCAGCCGGCTTTGAGGGCCACCATGCGCATCTTGGCAATGATGAGCACGTAACACAGGCAGATGGCACCGACAGGCAACAGGAAGCCCATGAGAAATGTATATAAGACGAAGCCCACCAGCCAGCGCTGGGCGGGCTCGGGCATGAGCATGTTGCAGGCCACCGTGCCGTCGCTGTTGGCGGCTGTGCGTGAGAAGACCACGATGGGCAAGATAACCAGTAGAGACAGCACCCACACACCCAGGTTCACCACCTTGGCTACAGTGGGCCGGCGGTAGCGAGCTGCCTTGATCGGGTGCACCACAGCCACATAGCGATCCACACTAAGCACAGTCAGGCAGTAAATGCTGGTGAACATGTTCACCGCGTCCACGCTGAGCACAAGGCGGCAAAGTAGCGCGCCAAAGGGCCAGTGGCGCAACAACGTGGAAGTGACCAGAAAGGGCACACTGAGCATCAGCAGCTCATCAGCAATGGCCAGGTTGAGAATGTAGATGTTGGTTGCGGTCTTCATTTTGGCGTAACGCAGGATCACGTAGATGACCATGGAGTTCCCACACAGTCCCACCAAGCAGACTACGGAGTAGATGAAAGAGATGAGAATGGCGCTACCCTGGCCCTCGCTTAAGGTCCCGTTCTGGGAAGCGTTTCGTCCTGGCTCATCCATGCCGTCCGCAGCGCCGGCCCCGGGGCCCCTGCTGCAGGCGCCTTCCCCGCAGCTGCCTGGGCTGGGGCTCGGAGAAGAGGAGGGAGAGGAGGCGGTGCCATTGGAGAACATCCCGGCAGAAAGGGGCTGGTACCGCTCAGGGACTAGGGCGCTCACCTTGCGCCCTTGCTGCCTGCGCCCTCCCCAGGCTCTAGACTCCCAGTTCGCTGCTCACCGCCGCCTGGCGCCGCCTGGCAGAGTGCAGCAGCTGCGGCGAGCGCGGCTCCTACCGATGCCGGCCGGGCGCATCACCCAAGGGCTGCTCGCGCGCGCGTTCTCTTGCAGTTCTGTGGGTCCAAGGCACACCGGAGCGTGGAGAGACCAAGAGGCTAGAGCTCAGCGCGGTATGGCCATTAAGTGGAGCGGCTCTGGACTGGTGAATGATTAATAAGCAGCACCATCGCGTCAGCAGCTACGAAGGAGGGGGGGCACATAGGTGGTTTATTTCTCCCCTTCTAACCCCCCCCCCCATTTCCAGTCCCCTCTAGGATCAACTCAAAGATTGCTTCAGATTTCTCTCACAGTATTCTCACAACATCTTCAAGCACTTCTAGCAGGGACCTGAGGAGTTTCTCTACCTTTCTAAAGGATAGGTACCAGCCAATACTGGATCTGTTCTATTCCACCCCACTCCTACTCCAAGTAAAGACTGAAGCAAACCCCAGACATATATGTCGAGAGTTCTTCATTTCTTTCAGTTGCTGCTCTCTTCTGGTGATGGGAGGGACCCCACCTCACCCCAGCTGCTTTCCCCGATCCTAAACACCCACCTTCTTTCCCGCTTGCCCAGTCCTTCAAACCTGCAGCTGAAGATTTCAGGCCTTCGGATCCCAAAGTCGATGATGTCTCCAGATGGCCCTTGCAAAGTGCTCCTGACGTCTGGCGGTGCGCTGACGTTCTTTGAGAGGTCCAACTCCCTTTGGCGCTGGCCTCTGCACAAGTGCCCACGCAAACACTGAGTGGCAGAAAGCCGATCTAAGCCAATGGCATTATGAACACACGAAGGACCACAGTAGTGTGTTAGTTCATGCTGAGTTACAACATCCATCCCTCTCCGGTCTGCAGCAGGGAGTGTTCAGGGAAACTGAGTGAACCATTTCGAATCTCTAAGGAAGCTTGTAGTGCCAAGAGTCCCCTCAGTCTCCCCCAGGAATATCGACCTTAGAAATCAGGACGCGCGGGGCAGAGGGCTCAAGAGGAGGCAGGCACTCCCTCTGGAACCTGCCAGACACAGTATTGGAAATCCATGTAGGTGTTCACGAGGGAAAGATTAGACTGCGCGGCTTGTAACAGCTGCGCCCGCGCGGGTCCCTGCTGTAGTTTGTACCCTGGAGAGTTGGCGGGGCGGAGGATGGAGTGGAGAGCGCCAGAGCCTTAACAAGCAGGCAGACCAGCTCTAAATCCATGCGTGGCTAGCTGCGCAGATGATGGAGCTATCATGAAGTCCAGGATCAAGGCAAGTTATTCAGGTTTTCCCCAGTGGAATACTAAGGGATAGGAGGGCCTTGAGGTATGACTCCTCTCTGGTCCAACCAAGTGTCAGAATCATTAAGAGATGAGTGTTACGGTTGGCCAGCAGGCCCAAAGCTCACTGACTTCTTTTGGGAACTGTAAGCTTCTACTTGAGAAAGAATGGATGTTGATTTTTTTTTTTGACCCTGGGGTTTCCCTGAATTCTGAATCTAGTGTCTCTTTGGTCTTGCAGACTCTCCTTGTCAAAAGATTCAACCTCCTCTTTCCTTTTCCCGAATGCTGCTGTATTCCACAAAATCCCTGCACATCTTTGCCTGAAGCATGCCAACCATGCCCCCCTCCGCCCCCATTCTGGGGACGACTGGCCTATTGCAGTCCAACACTCACTCTGAGCTTTGCCACTGGCCATTGCTCCTTAGTTATCCTCCTTGCCTCCCCCCTCACATCTACTTCAAGAGTTGGCGAAATTCGAAATTAAGCTCACGGACGCTGTTTCTACTAGACAGTCTAGAATGCAAAACTGGATACTTCATTAAAAGTAAAACATTTATAGTCAATGTCCTGTCGCTTGTACCCAGCAATCGCTTACATATAGCTGCTTTGGTTTCCAAAACTAAGTGGCTGCCAGAAGGGAAAGAATCACGCGCAGTGTCCAGCATGGCAGTCAGTTTAAAATCAATGACTACAGACTTCCCAGGATTGTGTGCAACAGATGCTGAATTATTCATGAGAAAAATGTTGGTGTGGAATTTGAAATTTGGGTGGATTGGGGCTGTTTAAGGGATTGTTTGACCTAAACAAACCGTCATGCCTCAAGTGGAATGTGACTTGGAGCTTAGTTGTTTCTAAAACTGAACATACACAAAACAGTACATATAGAGGGGATGGAGGGGAGGAAATGTCCAAACTGAGATTTGTCATAGAGGGGTATTTTCCTTGCCAACCCCAGACATAGTTTTGATGCCTTTGCCAACCACTGACCAAGGCACCTGGCTGCATTTCTGGGATGCTCTTTCAAAGGTCGCCATTTAGAGGCATTGGCTTTGATCATAGGACTGGGGCAGGGACGGGAGTTTTCTAAAGGCAGCTTTGTTGTCAGAATGTCATTAAATTCACTTTGCAGCTCATTAGTGAAGAAGAAACTTCATTTAGGTTATGGCTTCACATACAAATGAAGAAAAGTAGACAAGTGTATCTCTTTCTGGTTGTGAAGGCGTTTCGATGATGTACTACCTATTTGCAAAAGAGTTTGACAATAGGAGGGCTATAATTTTTAAAAGAAAAAATGAATGTAAACAAAGAGATGGAAAACTTTGATCATTCATGCTTGCTCTTAGAAATAAAGTCCTGAGGCACACATTCGCAAACAAGTTAATGATATTTCAAAAACACTGTGACCCAGCATTTCCACCTCTGTCCTTTAGCCCTCAAAATTGAAACAGTATTGGAAAAACAACAACAACTAACGATAAATAAAGGAAAGAAACAACCCAAATATGAGTGAACAAAAATGTGGTACATTAATCGGTAGAATATTACTCTTCCTTTAAAAGGAATAAAGTCCGATAAAATACTACAAATATTGATGAACATCAAAGACATTTTAAAAACAAAGTAAACCAGACTCACAATCCAATGATTACATGGTTCAACTTATATGACTAGTCTAGAATAGGTATATATCAAGACCGGAAGCAGATAAATGATTGTCCGTGGCTAGAGGAAGAAGGAACTGGGGAAAGGACTACTTTGTGGGTATAAATTTGCTTTTGGGGCAAGGAGAGTATTTCAGAATTTAACGATGGTAGTAGCTTCAGAACAGTGTGCCTATACCAACTGCCCTTTACTTTAACATCACATTTAAATGAGTAAAGTTATGTATTCTAGGTGAATTTATGCCAATAAATGTGTTTGAGTTGGATATAAGTCATGCTTCTTTTATCGTATCTCTTCAGTCACGTATGTCTTATCATTGTATCTGTGACCCCCTCTGCCCCAGGAGCAGATGAAGGCACTTCTGGACTAAGCAATGCAATGTGAAGTCGGAACCCCAGGGTCCTTTGGTCTCCTATTTTAACTGACATCTCTAAGGTCTTGAGAAACTGCACATTCTCAAGCTCTCATATCTTCTGTGACCATTTTTCCTGTGTCTCTTCCATGTTACAAACATCTGTAGAGAGGGGGCAAAAGGTGTTTCCTAAGAAGACAAGATGAAAAGGCTCACGCAAGAATTGTATGTTCTCAAGCTGACTTTTCCTTCCATCATAATAACTTTCCCCTGCAAGCTAAACTCTCCTGTGAACTCTTACACCTGGTACACATTTGTTTATTAATCCATCATACCATACTAGTAGTTCATGTCTATTTGTCTGTGCCCGGCTACAGAAGCTTTGTGAGAAGAAAAGCTATTTTATTGAGCTTTCTGTTCCCAGAACCTAGCAAAATACTCAAGAAATTACCCCAAATCTCCTTGTTCTTTATTTTTTTTAAAGATACTTCCTTTTTATGAACTAGCCCATGAATTGTAGATAAAAGACATAAATATGGGTCTTTAGAAGAAATTCAATGTCTGGATAATATCACTATCATTAACAATTCCTCATTCATCTAAATCATTCTGAAAATGTTTGATTTGCATGTGCTATACCAATAATTAGAGTGCTGACAATTCATTCATTGATCATTCTTGTTCTTAAATTTCTTGGCAGAGAAAGGGATCTGGGAAAGGAGTAGTACATGCTTTAGTGGTTAATGATGGCTATTTAATAGTACCATGCAGTGTGAAAGCCATTATACATGGAAGATCATTTCTTTTTAATTGCAGTCCTGAGTCTCAGTTGGTTTGGTGAAATAGTAATTATCAGAAACTCAAACTCTGTGTCTGTCAAAAAAAAAAATTCCTAATGTGGTTTTTCCAGTTGGAACCTATGTTCTAATCAATTCCAGGGGCAAAGGCACTTCATGGAGCCTGCTCTGTACTCACAGCCCCAGTCATGTGTGAAAACACCTGTCTGGGCAGATGGGGGCAAGCTAAGTCGAAAGGGTGAGCACCCCTCAGCAATATGGCCCAAAGTAGAGTATGTGGCACTTGGGGACCATCTGCCATGAAGCAGTTAATGAGATGACAGTCTAATAAGAAAGTTACTAGGGTACAAAGTGGCTATCTGGCTAAACAGCAACCTTAGACTCCATCTCCCAGGGATGCCCAATCACTTCACAGCAGCCCAGGCAGCCTGTGGTGAAGTTCATCACCAATCTTAGCAAACTCACTGGCCTGCTGATTTTCCTATTGCCTCGTCTGTGAAACAGCATGGCAGGGTTTTTTTTCTGTGCTTTCAGAAAAGACACATACGGTTTAACAGCTCATTCTTCTCTATGTATTCTCTGTTGCTAAATAATGTTTCTAAGACCACAATTCAGCACATACACAAAAGTATTCATTATTATTAATGGATAAATAATGGAACAGAAATGGCCACATGCTACCTGTATGACTTTGAATAGTCCTTACCAGCAATACATTTTTTCTTCTTCTTGGTAATAAAGCTTTTTATTATTTAAGGACTTTAAGATGGGTAGCATTAGTTTCAAACAATTTTATTCAAACCTTTCTTTTTTTTTTATTACTTCTCTCCCCTCACCAGCGGCAATCACAAAAGAAAAATGCTTTCAGAGTCACAAAGGCACATTTTTGTTTCTTTGGATACCTCAAATGATGTTTGATTCTGCTCAGAGCACTTAAATGCTTACAGCCACTCGCCCATTCCTTAAGGAAGGACTGTTCTTTTGGAGCAGGCCACAGGTGTCAATCAGATTCACCAGCTAAGTGAGGGAAAGCAGAGCCAGGGAAAGAGCTGAGAGCAGAAGAGAAGGGAGTTTAACAGAAGGAAGCTTACATAGGCAGCGTTCTTCCGGTACTGCTGCTTTGGGGCTATCTTAAACATGTTACAACTGAAGTCTTGGCTAGGTTCTACCAGCCAAATCTCTGTTACGTTCAGGTGTCCTGAAGCCCTGAGCTACCTCTTCCCACACAGCATAGGAAGACACAAGGAAGCAGCTCAAGTGATGGTCTTTTCTCCTTTTTCCTTCTGTCTCCCCATGAGAAAACATAAAAGCCCAGTGGAGTCACCTGACTCATCAGACAAACAGTATTTTTGTTGACTGTTTAGATCAGCCAAGTTTTCATGGCCTGTGCCCGTGGTCTGGGACCTTGTTTCTTATAGCAACTTATTTTTATGCTTTGATATTTTTATGAACACGAAATTGATACTAGAACAGAAAGAGTTAATTTCATAGTTGCATGGTGGTGTGCTCATATTTTTGTCTCCATTTCTCTGTTAGCAGTAACTGGAAGCTAATTCCTAAATTCCATTATGTATGAATAATATAATTGTAAACATAACTTGATAATTGATTCATTGGTGTAATAATAAAAATGATTCATCGAATGCCCACTAAGTTACAGGCACTGCTTGAGTTACTAGAGCTACAGTGGCAAAAAGGTTCTTATTCTCATGAAGAAGAAAAGAGGAGACAGGTATTGTCATTGTACTTAGTAATATGCTTCTAAAACGGTGATAGAGGGACCTTGGCGGGCCAAGGGGGTCCCATGGCAGTAGATCCCACAGCCTGTGAGGGACAGACACGCCGTGCAGGCAGAGCTTATGTGGGAGTTTTGAGATAAAGGGAGTGGGGCAAGGGAATAGAGGGAGGAAAAAAGATACAGAGAAAAAGAGGCAGAGGAAGGCAGGACTGGCCTGCCTCTTCAGAAGAGCAGTGGGAAAAAAGAGTGGAAATGGGTGGAATTTGTCTCTTAAAGGGACCTTTTGCACCTGCATTTAGAGTA